AATTGAGTTAAAAAGGTTTTACTCGTTCTAGAGAGAAATTGAGTTAAAAAGTAAATTCAAACGAGACAAAATATTGTAACAGAAAAAGTTAAATTTAAATTTTTTTCTTAAAGTAAACACTTTAGTAAAAACTAGTGATATTATGGACGATTTGTGAGGTTAATCTTTCAAATTATAAATTATTAGAAAGTAATCCTTGATCTCAATACGGCATTGTTGCACTCCTATTTTTTCGTATTTTCTTTGGTTAGTAGTTGAAAATGGCACCGATACTTACTCCGATTTTTTCTCTCTCTTCCCAAATTACTCTTCCACCAGCAGCTCTTAACCTATTTCACTCAATCTCTCTCTCTAACAAAAAAAAAAAAAAAAAGATTTAAACTTTAAATCAAGCTTTTTTATTCCATAAAAATAAAAGTTTAAAAAACATATAACGATAATATTTAGGCGGCGGGCCGGTTTCAGATCGCGGTTTCAAACTCCAATCCACAAATGCCTGCTGAAAAGGGTAGATTGAAACCGTCCCGCATGCCCGAAAAAACGGTTTTGACAAACACCCGCCAATAATGGTGCAGGGTAGAGCAGTGTGGTGATTTCAATTATCACAATTTTTAATTCAGGGACTGCGATAAATTAAAGTGGCAACCATGCGAAGAAGCCTAATAATAATGAAATGACCAATTACAATTCTATTTGTCTATTGTTAATTAAAGCTCACTAATCAGTGTTAATTAGACCAAAAGTTAATCTGACAAATAGTTCGTGAACTTTATTCTTAATCTAATTTTGCTCCCTGACTTTTAAAGCATCATAGAAAATAATGTCTAATCTAGTAATTTTGTTTCAGTTATAATCTTTTCCACTAGTTGTGTGTAAAAAACAATATAGAATTTGCACGTGATCTGAAAAAAAATAATATTTTACTAATAGAACACAGTGATAGAAACAAAAAAAAAATATATATATATATTTCATTTATAAGACATCGTATTTTTCTGCAAATACATAGAATTACACTTTGCTAACTTAATATTAAATGTAAAATAGAAAATTGTAATAATCTATCACCTATACTAGAGCTTCAGAAGAAAAACCCACTAAAGAAATTATTTTTCCCGCTCAAAAGCCACTTCTTTCCACACTAAATTTCTCAATCCCCCATGAAAAGAATGAAATGGGGTTAATTTTAAATTTAGTCCCGAAAAATATGGATTGTCTCACTTTACTCCTTACAATTCAAAATAGTACAAAATTGACCCTTAAACATTTCATAAGTTACAACTTAAGTACTTATGCCCATGAAATGCCAAATGTTTTTTAGTTTTAATCACACCGCTTAATAAAGAGCAATATAATAAATATATTTATTTTTTTTCTCACTCTAATCCTAAGTGTTTTTTTCTCTTTTGCTTATAACTTCCTCGTCCATTGTCTTCTATATTTTCTTTTACAAATTAGCCATGTGATCTATATTTGATAAAAATTGTTAAAAAATTAACGTTTTATTGACGGAAGTATCAAATTTGTATCTTATGAAAAATTTGAAGGCTAATTTTGTGTCATTTTACATTTTATGTAATAAGTGTGACAATTGTTATTTTTCATGGTCAAATATATAATTATTCCAATTAAATATTATCCAAACTCAATAAAAGGTTTTTTTAAGAACCTGTAAAATGGTTTTGGGCGAAAAGGTTATGGTGTAATAATTAGGAGTGTACAAAAAAACCGTAAAATTGAAACCGACTGAAACTGACCGCTTAAAACCGAAAACGACGGTGCCACGTGGAACCGAACACAGTCGGTTCGGTTAACCGACCGACTTCCTCAAAAGTCGGTTTGGTTTCGGTTTTGCGTGTAGAGAGTCGGTTAAAACCGAACCGACTGAGATGACATTTTTTTTTTATGTTTTCGTTTTGTTTTACTTATGACAATTTAAATGTTTTTTAAACTTGTGTTTGTGCAATTATCAATTTTGATGTTGTGCTTGTATTCATTTATTGTGATTACGTGTTTGCAACTTTAGATTGAAGGAAAATTTTACATTTTTTCGTACTTACGGGTCAAAAATGTAATTAAAGATGCTGGTAACCTGATGGTTAACTAATGTCATCTTCATGATTACCAAAACCAAAAACCAACCAAAACCGACCGAAACCGAAGCGAAACCGAAATTCGGTTAACCGAACTGAAAATGTTAGATGTGGTTTGATTTCAGTTCTAACTTTTAGAAAACTGACATGATCGGTTCGGTTACTGAACCGATTAAAATTGATAAAACTGAACCGACGAAGACCCCTAGATAATCATGGGGTATATATGATGATCTTCTTCTCATCAGTTCTCACGTAATTCATTGCAGTAATTAAAAATGCTGGTAACCTGATGGTTAACTAATGTCATCTTCATGATTACCAAAACCAAAAACCAATCAAAACCGACCGAAACCGAAGCGAAACTGAAATTCGGTTAACCGAACTGAAAATGTTAGATGTGGTTTGATTTCAGTTCTAACTTTTAAAAAACTGACATGATCGGTTTGATCACTGAACCGATTAAAACCGATAAAACTGAACCGACGAAGACCCCTAGATAATCATGGGGTATATATGATGATCTTCTTCTCATCAGTTCTCACGTAATTCATTGCAATGCGTTAAAAAAGAAAACAAAACAAAAAAACAAAACGAACAAAACAAAACAAAAAAACAAAACGAAAGCCTGCAAGTAAGATGGAGTCAGAGTATAGCCAAGTGCATGTACTTCCTTTACTTTTTAATCAATTTCTTCCTAATATTTTAATACTTCTTTTAGTTATCCTAGAGATCTACATAATCTTTCAGAGTTTTAGGTTACCCTTCAGGAAATCCAGCCTTCCGTTTTTCATCCAATGGTCTCAATTAGCTTTCAGATGAGGGTTCCGAATGAGAGAGTATTCCTATATACACACACACACACACACACACATACATACATAGATACATATTTATTTTTCTAATGATAAGAGTTCTGCACTTAAAGACCCGATTTGAATTTAAAATTTGAGTTTTATTACAGTAAAAAATTTTAAAAAATAATTATACATAATTTTTTTATTATAAAAAAAAATTATCACATAAAATTACATATCAACTTAAATTAAAATTTAAATTAACAAATTAAACAGACCTAAGAAATTCCATATATGTGTCCCTTGAACACCGAATAAGGTCACCACTGGCTATCAGATAAAAAAAAGGTCACCGCTGGCTATTTTTTTCGTTTTTTGTTTTTTAATATTCTTTTTCACTAATTCCGTACTATTTATCTATTTCACAAATTATGCCCACATGTAATAGTTTTTCACATAATGATCCAATAAAATATATTTTATTATTTACCAAAGTCCTAAAAACTAATATAAATCAATCAATTACATTTTCATAAATAAAATGACCCATTTACTGTTGATGTTATTTAAAAACATTAACCATAAAACAGAATTAACAATGTGGTACACAAAAGAAAGTTTTTTTTTTTTTTAATTTTTGGGTAACAAAAAAGAAAAAAGTTTGTTGAAAATTAAGAAATTGGGGAACAATAAAAAAAAACAAATATTCTTTTAGGGCTCTGTTTGCATATTAGGAAAAGAAAAAAAAAAGTGTAACGTTTTCATGTACGTACCGTGAAAAGGATATTCATGCACAGCAACTAAACAAATAATTGATCTGAACCTATTACTTTGTTTTTTTGATAAAACAAAGTAGTAGGTTTTGACCAATCGTGAATTTTATATCTGATATTAAAAAATTGATCTATTTGCCAATTATTACAACAGGAGACAAGAAACATTATTGAGGCCACGAAATAAAAATTGTGAGTTTCCTATTGATAAGATTCTTTTAAATTAATTCGCTATGACACATCACGCCGTACGTACAAAGAACACGTGGTAAATATATATATATATATATATGTATTTGCTCATTACAAGACAAACAATTTTTTATTGGTCTGTGAAAAAAACTACTAATTTACTAGCAAGTCACCAAAAAAAAAAAAAAACAAATCAAAGAAAATTTATGAGTTCTTCTTTTGCAATGAAACTCAAAAAAAATTTAAACTTAAATTACAACTTTATTTAAATTTATGTTCTTTTATAAAATTTGAGTTTGAACTCAAGTTTGAACTCGAGTTTGAATTCGAGTTTGGAGCTAAACTCGAGTTCAAGTTTCTCCTTCAATTCGAGTTCATAAACTCAAATTCAAGTTAATTAATAGTATTTTTTCTATTCTTAAAAATGACATAAGTTTTTCGTTTTAATTCTAATTGAGATGATTTTTTTTTCTATGCATTCACAACGAAAAGACGAATAAAACCCTACTCATATACCCTATTAAAATTTTTCATCACCATTGAGTTTTTATTAAAATACTATCTAAATATAAATTTAAGTTTTGACCCACCCAAACACAAACTTAAATAGATTCTCAATTTAAATTATAACTCAAATGTGTACATCCAAACACAAACTCAAATTACAACTTCAACTCAAGTTATAACTCAAACTCAACTTAAAATCATCAATCATATCACCCTAACTCAAAAATGTAAAAGAACAAACAAGAATTTTCCTGGCACCGTCATTCATCACTAGAGATGTATTCAATTTTCAAAGAAAGAATTCTAAATAATATACAGGAAAAAATTAAAAATATCATTTAAGATGGTAAAAAATATTATTTAATTATGTCATGTCACATCAAAATAAATAATTGTAATACAATTAATAAAAAAAATAAAAGGCTATAATGACATCTAATTATTTAGAATGGAATGGTCAAATATGCTTCCACATAACCATGATAGATCATATATTTTTCTCATAAATATTAATTATTAAGTAAATATGCGTAGATGTAATAAGGGTATGATCGTCTTAATACGCACAACAACCCACAAGTTAGTCTATAAATACCATGAAAGAACTTGCATTAACCACACTAACAGCCTCAATAAAACTTCTCATAAAAATGAAGTTGATAACTCTTTTAATAATCTTCTCTTTGGTGCTAGGCATTGTCTCTGCTGATGAGCCACAATGTGGAAGGGATGCAGAAGGTGCCTTATGCCGAGACAACTTGTGTTGTAGTCATTGGGGTTTTTGTGGTTCCACAGCCATCTATTGTGAAGTTGAACAAGGTTGCCAAAGCCAATGTTGGAGTTCACCACCTCCACCAAGCTCACCTCCTCCTCCTCCAAGCCCGCCTCCGCCAAGTCCACCACCGCCTAGCCCACCTCCGCCTAGTCCCCCACCGCCTAGCCCGCCTCCGCCCAGCCCGCCTCCTCCAAGCCCGCCTCCACCTAGCAGCCCAGAAAGACCTGATCACCGTTGTGGATCAGACCTTGGAAGTCCTCCTTGTAATCCAGGAAGATGTTGTAGTAGATATGGGTGGTGCGGCGATGGATCCGCTTATTGTAGTGGGTCAAATTGCCAATACCAATGTTGGAATTCTCTCCTTTCTGCTCTAATTCCAAATGGCAATAATGCTATTAGCAAGATCATTAGTAAATCCGTTTTCGATGAAATGTTTAAGCACAGGAAAGATTGTCCAAGTCGGGGATTTTACAGTTATGATGCTTTCATCATTGCTACTACATCTTTCCCTCATTTTGGTACAACTGGTGATATTACAACCCGTAAGAGGGAGCTTGCTGCTTTCTTTGCTCAAACCTCTCTAGCAACCACAGGTAAATTAATTTGTCCTTAAATTATCTAAATTCAATGGTGGAAGATATGTAATATCATTATTGGACAACATCCATATTAATTTACAAATGATGGTAAAGGCCGAACTAAATTTGAACCCATATTATTTAGTTAAAATTAATAACATAACAAGACAAATTCTCACTTGACAGGTTACTCTTTTAAGATAAAAACTTAAATCTTTAAAAGGTTCAATTTTTATTTTGATATTAGTGCCCAACAAGCTCTAATGAGCGGCTCGATTATTTCAATATTACAAAATTAGAGATTCTAATCTAATCTAAGACAACTTACAAACGGATACCCTAACAGTTTGACATGGCAATCTTGAGCCGGTTGATGAACAACATTTAGCATCAATACTTGCAGTATTATTGATATTATTTCGTTAGATTAGTAATTTGTTATTTCTTTAAGAATTTTGCTATCACTTTAACCTAATGTTTGCATGTTTTGTGTAGGTCAACGGTTTGATTCACAAGATCCATATGCATGGGGATATTGTCATATCAATGAGACCACCAATGGAAATGATAACAAGTATTGTACATCTGCTCATTGGCCATGTCCTTCTGGCAAAAAATATAATAGTAGAGGAGCCGTGCAGCTCACTCAGTAAGTGTCTTATTCCAAAATTGACATTTAATTATTACAATAATAATTACTATTAACAAGTAGTACAACACTTCATTTCTACACATATTTATTTAGTTAGGTCTTATTTATTGCTGAAAATTCTTCTATGTATTGGAATCTTACATAATATCTCGTTTTATCAAAATTAGAATTTTCAATTATATTATCACGATTAAAATTTCAAACTATCTCTTAAAATTTGGTGAAATTGTGGATCGACACATTTCACAAGGAATAAATTCTTGGATGGATAAAAACCAATGTTACTATACATGTTTAAATATTTTGGTTACGTAGAAAATGTTTCTAGCTAGGTGGTTCTAATTTAGAGCTGGATTATACATTAATTGACATCTTGATGTGCTTACTATCACTGCAGCAATTACAATTACGGACTTGCCGGTGAAGCTCTTGGATTAGATTTGATAAACAATCCCGACTTGGTGGCTACAGACCCAGTTGTATCATTTAAGACCGCCATATGGTTTTGGATGACTCATCACGACAATAAACCTTCCTGCCATGATATTCTGATCAATGCTAATTCTAAAGTTGGTCAAGTACTCCCAAGCTATGGTCATGTGATTGGTAACATAATAAAAAATTCTGGATATCAAAATGGCCTTATTACCAATACTATTACTACTAGTAATGGGTACTATAAGAGGTATTGTGATATGTTGGGTGTGAGCTATGGAGATAGTTTAGATTCTTGGTATGATCAAACGCATTTCTCAGAAGTTGCTCGCATCTAAGTGCATGTGCTCTAAAGTATGAGGACAAAAATGGTGGCCTTAGACAAAATAAACTGGGAATATTCTAGATATATAGCTAGTTCGCTTCCATGATGAGAAGCTAGTTATCGCTGGCTATTACATAAAATGAGTCTCCTGAGTTTTGTAACAAAGTGGCTCGATTACTCAGTGATTGAGCTCTTATGTTATATGATGAAATAAATGTGCTGCCTCTATGTTTATAATAGCTAAGCAATTTTCTTCTCCTTTCATATATATTGTTAATCAATATTTCACAAAGAATGGTCAATATTTAATGGGGTGGTTGCTAGAAGCAAACCGCAATAAACATCAGACGTGGTTTCCTCAGTTAAATAATTATTTGATGAGGTGTAAGACTTAAAAAGGATTCAGACCTGAGGGAGCATGATCATCGTTGGAACTTGCTAGTATCCAATAACTTTAATAATCAAATAACGATGCGAACTTCATTGAATAAAACAATTAAACTAAATAGAAAAGTTGAAAAAATAAAGCGGAAAATAAATAGCAGACTAAAAATGTAGAGTGGTTCAATTCTATTAAAGAGCTACGTACGTCCAATATGGCAGTTTAGAATTTCACTATCTTATAATTAAAATAGGGTGCAATTCAAAGCTTTTTAAAAATAGTTTGTTGGTACCTCCTTCTCTTTTAAACATTGTTGCACATTTCTTCAGAACCTATCATATCTATAATATAGGGATACAATTATTTTAGTACCATGTGTTATAGTGAAACATACTCTTTGTACTTTCTGTTTTTTGAAAAACATCTTATAGGTGTCTAAGATTATTTTTTGAGACATAAAATGTCCATTTTACTCTTTTATTTAATTTTAGAAACTAAAAATTTTAAAACTTCACAGAAACATTTTAAAATTTGAAATTCATATTTTAAAAATATAATATTTTTAGAAAAAAATTTTATAATAAAAACTAAACAACAAATCCTTATCTTTTTTATTAGCCAAGAAAAAAAAAAGAACCATCTTTCTCATAACTTCAAACCAGAGCAAATAAACACCAAAGAAAACCATATCTAGTATTCCAGTCCCCGTCACCACCTAAAAAAAAAAAAACTTAATTTCAAATTTCAAAATGTTTTTGTGAAGTTTTAAAATTTTTAGTTTCTAAAATTAAATAAAAGAGTAAAATGGACATTTTATGTCTCAAAAACTAGTCTTAGGGTAACTACAAGATGTTTTCTAAAATTAAAAATTACCGTTTTAATATTATCAAAAACAGAGGAAACTGAGTTTCAACAAAAAAAAAAAAAATACAAGTGCATATTTCACTATAACACAGGTATCAAAATGATTTTATCCTTATAATTTATTTCTTTAGGCCACGAAAATAATCAATGTCTCATTCATTTTACTGATTCGAGTTTTCAGTTCTAAGTTTTGAAAGTTAAAAGCTTTCAAAAAATATCACATCTAACTTAATCTACTGCAGTTAAAAATTCTTAAAAAATATCACTTCTTAACTCAAATTAAAAATTTGAATGTGAGACCTAACTATCCCACTAATTCCCAATCATGGGCCTTCAACCTATCTTTGTGTAGCTGCCACGTGTCCTCTTAATGGAGTAGTGGGACTAGTGCGTTACACACTATTAGTCCACGTGTTCTTCTTTCACGGAATCAGCTAGATACCCACCACTTGGCTTGGATCCCTAAATCTTGGGAGCACATTCTCCTTGTCAATTGTGGCTCGATGATCAATTCTTCAGATAATCGATTGCTAGAGTCGACTAGAATTCTCGTAGATGGTTGACTCCTTAATTCGTAGGTCGATCTATATAACTGGCTGGCTTTGAAGGTCGGTTGTTAATTGGAGTTTGGGTTATAACCCTCTGTCGATTAGCAAACTCTTTGTGAACTCTCTTGGCGATAATCATTCTTGGGTATGCCATTCATTTTGTCAATTATTGAGGATTCGCCTAACGACGATCCTACTTTGTCAGTGCCAAATCTCTGAACCGAAAACAGAATCACCAAGATTGCTATGGATATCCCCACCACAACGTAAAAAGCTCTCACAAACAATCACATCTAACTTTTTTGCTACAGTAAAAAGCTCTCACATAAAATCACATCTAAATTCGAATTAAAAATTCGAATCAACAAACTAAACGGACAATAAATTACTGCTTCCCACATCCCAACTAAGTTACTTTTTCTAATGCCCTATTTAATAATTCCTGATTCTTTGTTTCCTTCAGGGAGAAGCTATAACTTTATAATAGTAGACATGAATAGCCAACTCAAGTTGCAATAGAATGAATTGTTTTCACATTCTAATATTAATGTAGACAACTCCTATTCTGTAAATGTGCCTTTAAAAAAAAGAAAAAGAAAAGAAAAAATGAAAAATGCCTTAATTGGTCGTGAGGTGAAAAAAATGAAAAATGCCTTAATTGGTCGTGAGGTCCAGCAACAAATGAAAACTTTAACAGTATTGTATATGTACAACAGAATAATATGCAAGAAGAAAACGACTAAGATATAGGAACGAACGACAACCAAGGAAAAACAAATAAAAATAAAAAATAAAAAGCAAAAATAGTTATATAACCTTTTTTCTCTCTTCTTCTCTCTCTTTTTTTTTTTTAATTATTTTGTTGTATACATAAATCAAATTTTCAATATATAAAGAGATAAGGGAATCTGGTTCGTACAATATACTGCTTTATTTATTTATTTTTATCTCAAGATATCATATATTGGGTAGCGGAATGTGTTTATATACGCACGACCCAAGCAAAATGAATACGTTACAGTTGTATGTTAATGGTTATCATAGTTTCTTTTGAAGCATTATAAGTTAGATATTTAAGAAAGTTGCCCTTAAACCTCTAATGATCTAGGGTACAACCTCTAATAAAGAGAGCGGGATACATACAAAAATTTATAATTGTTCCCCTAATAATCTAGGATACATCCTTTTTTGGGTCTTCAAATATTCTATTATGAATATTGATGAAGATTACAACGGTATTCTCCGTAAATGACGGGAGAATGCTATGAAAAATACTGAGAAGCATGTAAATATGGTGAAAAAGCTCCTAAGAATGCTTGAAAATGGTGTAGGCATGTAATTTAATGATGGGTGTAAACACGTGTCTCCCCCTCCATAGACTTGCAAGGAATGATTTATAGGCCTTGATTGCTGAATATTTGATTTAAGGTAAGTTTTCCATTTGACTTTTAATTATTAAAGATTTTATTCTCATAGAGAAATTGTTTAGGGAGTAAGTTTAGGTAGAGATTGACTTTCCCTTTACTATTCTGAGATAATATCCAACGAAGTATGGCTGCTATGATGGTGAAATTAATGACGATTTTCAGAATTCTATGTTGCAGCCTCGCAACAGATAATTCACATATTAACAGTAGACAATTCAAAACACAAGATGCAACAGATAATTCACACGTCATCATCTCATAATTTAAGGTAAGGTTTGGTCCTATCCGTTTTTTAAGTGTATTAGACCACGTTAATGTTCTTTTAAAAAAATCAATAAATATGTGTCGTCTAACCCTAAAATTATAGAAGTGAAAAATCTCATTCATATATATATATATATATATATTTATATACAGACATATACATATATATTATTTCAAACAAACTATTTCTTCAGCAAACAATAAAAAATAAAAATAGAAATACAACAATGTACCTCGTTCACTTCACCGATTCGAGTTTTCAGTTTTAGGTTTTTACAGTAAAAAACTCTCAGAAAATGTCACATCTCAGCTTGAATTGAAAACTCGAATCTGCGAAGTGAATGAGGCCTAAGTTTTAATAATCTCAAGGTTCAAAACCAGACGTTTACTAGATCTGTAATTGGTTAAAAGTAAGTTCTAATGATGAACGTCATTGTTTTTCACACGTTTTTTCCCCTGAATAGTCAAACTTCGGTCTCTCAAATAATTGTTGTAAGCATTTATGAGATAACTCTCTAAATTTTAATTAAAATAACTAAAATATATTTTAATTAACAATTTTTTAATAATACATTTCAACCATATTTCCTATTTTAGCTATATAGAGATTATTTTAATATTTATTAAATATAAATAACTTTATTAAATTAAAAAAAACTTTGTATTTATTATGATTTAAAAGATTAAAATAATATACAAATTTAAATGGCTAGTCTTTTTTTGCTAACTATATTTAACTAGTGTGACTATCATAAAGAAGTCTCCATAATAACTAACAATTTAGTTAATAATTAGAGTCGAGAAAAACCATAAAGAAGTTAAATTTTTAATCATTTTAACTAAAAACACAAAGTGACTAGCATGCTTTGAGATGCTCTATGTAATAACACAAATGTAAGTTTATAGGGGCTTTACTCAGTATTTTTTATTTATTTATAAGAAATGAGACCGCCCGAATGTGAATAAAAGAACACAAAAAATAGTCTATCTACTTGCTGGACACAACAACATCATTAGCACGTGTATTTCCAAATCATTAATTTTCTCATTCATTTTTCCATATTGTCCCACCTAGTTATTCTTTTTGAAAAACCTACCTACCTATTCTGATTAAATTAGAAATGCGTAACCATGCTTATTAAACCTGTTATTTTCACAAGTTTGAATTATGAACTTAAGTTTAAAAGTGAATTTTTGTAGAGGAAAACATTGTGATAAAAAAATTGAATTTTTAATGAGGAAAAAAAAAGTGCTAACCAAAAAATTTGAGTTGGGGTCCAAATTATGAGAAGAAAGGGTACTCTTAATAAACTTGTAAATTAGAACATATATGCAACACGAAATTTCATCGACTAGGAAGAAATTCCAAGTTAATACAATTGTGTACCAAAAAAATTAATAAAAGTGTTAATCATTGATTGGGTATTAAAAAAAAATCAATATGTGCAATGCATGGATCTATGCATTATACACACATACATGTATATACATTATACAGGAATAATTTGTATTCTGATTTTTTCGAAAATGTGAAATGGTTTTGCTAAAAAAAGGAGAATAACTAAGTAGTTTTTTGAAAAAGAAATAATTTAATTAAGTTGTTGCAGTCAAGTAGTTGGTGCCCATGGCATCCTATCTCTATCACAACCAATAGGGAGAAAGGGGAAATGATTTGCAAAACAAAGAAATTAACACTAGGATTTTGATCGAAGAATTCAAAGATTAAAGAGAAGAGGAAAGCATAGTAATAATTT